GGGATAATACAGGGAGGCAGATGAAGCAGAATTGGGGAGCGTACATGTCCCTCCCTCTCCTTCCCCTCCTCCCTCTCTTCCTTCCTCCTTCCTTCCCTCTCTTCCTTGTCATATTCCTCTATCCCTTCTTTTCATCCTTCCTGCGACAGTTAGATGCCAGGTGCTGGGAAGATGTACTGAGCCACACATGGAGCTTTCCTTCACAAGCCTCCTTTCATTAGGAATGTAGGCTTGGGGTGCCACTTGGTATCAGGGAATGACTCATGGCTAGCAGTTCAGCTGCAGAGCTATTTCAGGAGACCAGAGAAGACAGACTTGAAGCTGTTCCCAGGAAAACCGTGGTGTCACTGCAAAGATGGGGTGTATGTAGTTCATTGTCCTCAGAGCTCAGTAGAACTATTATATAGTACAATTGACCCTGGACGACACAGGCTTCAGCCGCGTGAGCCCACTTATACATGGATGTTTTTGGATAAATCCAGTATGATATTGTAAATGTATTTTCCCTTCCTTACGATTTTATTTGCATTCCCCCCCCAGCTTACTTAATGTAAGAATACAGCACATAATACATATAACTTACAAAATATGAGTGAGTTGACTGTTTATGTCATTGCTAAGGTTTCTTTTCAAGATTTATTATTTATTTGAGAGAGAGAGTGTGTGTGCAGTGGGAGGGGAGGGGTAGAGGGCAACACTCCCCAAGCAGACTCCCTGCTGAGCTCAAGCCCAAGACCTATGTAGGACTTGATCTCACAACCCTGAGATCATGACCTGAGCCTTAATCAAGGGCCAGATGCTTGACCGACTGAGCCACCCAGGCGCCCCTGCCATTGCTAAGGTTTCTGGTCAGCAGTGGGCTATTAGTAGTTACGTTTTGGGGGATTCAGAAGTTATACATGGGTTTTTGGCTGTGTGGGGGGTTGGCATCCCTAACCCCTGTGTTGTTCAAGGATATATAAATATATAATATAAATATAACATAAAAGCATGAACCTAGGAGCCAGACTGCCTGGGTTAAATCTCAGCTTTCATCCTTACTAGGTGTGTAACCTTGGGCAAAGTGTTTGACCTCTCTCTGCCTCAGGTTACTTATCTTTAAAATGGGGATAATAATAATACCTTCCTCACAGAGTTGTTGTGGGGATTAAATTAATTAAAAAAAAAAAAACTCTTAGAAAAGTGCCTGGGACATATTGACCCTATATAAATATAGGCTGTAATTATTAAATTACTTCTACACCAAATGAGGATGAACTTTCAGAAGATAGTTATTTTTGCTAACAATACATCCAATAATTTTTGTAGAAATGAACATCTTTTCAGGAATATAAAAGTCAAACATATTCAAATATTATGGAAAGAAATAAATAATAGCAATTATTTAGAGTCAATCTGCTTATTGTTATAGGATTTACATTTCCAAACTTGGAAAGAAATTTAAATAAATACATACACACGTACACATACATACTCACATAACTTATACGTACATCCATGCATATTAAGTTTTAGAGGTGAAAAGTATGTTCAGCAGTTGACAAATTCTGTTCAAGATTCAGAAATACCTTACAGACAGAAATCCAGGCCTTGGATACCATTGGGATAGAGAGAGAAGCCCCAAGAGACTCATCTTCTATTTTTATTGTCTAAGCTAATGGTCCATTAACACAGCTTCTTGAAGCTGAGCCGGTTAGATAATGTGTACCTCCCAGGGCAAAGACGTCAGGTGGGTGTTTCCTAGTGGCGGAAGGCAGCATTATTTTTCCTAGGGGAAGAATGTGAGTAATCCCACTTTTTTCGCATAATGGTAACAGTAAGAAAGAGCATTATATAATGGGCAAAGAAATTACCAAGATGATATCAGCGTTCAAAGGGAAAATCCTTATGTTTATAATCAGTTTAATGATTTTGGTTCAATAATGGTTTGCCCTCATTAGCTATTCAGTGAAATGGTGCTAATTTTAAGGTTCATCAGTGTATGAAGAACATCACAGCACTTTTAGACACACTGGCATATTTGCATTATTACTGGAGTGATATAAAACCAGAAATTTCAGGGAGCTTATTGTTGATTTTGAGCAGTTTATCCTTCTTGAGAAATAAGCTTCAAAAATCTCAAATTATTTCCTATGTCTACCACAAAAGATAATTTCTATGATAATAATAAATAAGCATCTCAGTGTACTGAAATTGAGAATTGTTCTCTTTTTTCTCCTAGCTTTCAGGACATAATTTTAAAACACATTTAATTCCAACCTGCCAGGTATTTGAATCTTAAGCCATTTTAAATTTAGTGTCCTCAAACAAGTGTGAAACATCAATGTTTCTTATTCCTGGTAAGTCTGTCCCTTTGCTCATTCTCCTTCCCTGCCAAGGAACAGCTTAGCTTTGTGCGTCAGAAGCTTCCAGGCCCAGTGTGGCCGGCAGTCATGCGGTAGTCACGCACTCTCAGATGTGAACCACAATTTCCTATGTCCCAGGAGACACCTCAGCTTCATCCATCCATCCTGACCAGTTCACTGAACGCCTGAGTGTTTAGTAGGACCTCATTACATATGCCTGTGACCACCATGTTTTTCTAAATTGGCATGCAGGCAGTCTTGGAGCAATTAATTAGTAAGCCTAACTGAAGCTAAATATAATTAATTGTACAATATTGAGCTGTCCAAATTTAACTCCACTAAAATTACAGGATGAACGTGGAACATAAAGGATTTCTGGAAAAGGGAAGTAGATATCAGTAAGACCATTTTTTTTTTTTTTTTAAGATTTTTATTTATTTACTTGAGAGAGAGCACAGGAGAGAAGCAGACTCCCCGCTGAGCAGAGAGCCCTACACGGGGCTCGATCCCAGGACCCTGAGATCATGACCTGAGCCTGAGGCAGATGCTTAACCAACTGAGCCACCCAGACACCCCATACCATTCTTGATAAATCCTCCTTACTCACTGCTGCTTACCCAAGACTCTTATGATTCAAGCTTATGTATTTTGAAACATATGGCTCACCATGTGAAAATCTTTCTCTGTCATGCACACATAACTTGTGTACATTTGTGCCATAAGTTTAGAAGTATGCTTTGTTTTCATCTATCTGATGTAACTAATAAATTGATAAAGAGTAACATAATGGGGCGCCTGGGTGGCTCAGTTGGTTAAGCGACTGCCTTCGGCTCAGGTCATGATCCTGGAGTCCCGGGATCGAGTCCCGCATCGGGCTCCCTGCCCGGCAGGGAGTCTGCTTCTCCCTCTGACCCTCCCCCCTCTCATGCTCTCTCTCTCTCTCATTCTCTCTCTCAAATAAATAAATAAAATTTTCAAAAAAAAAAAAGAGTAACATAATGCATATAGACATGATAGGATCCATCTGGGATGGATGTTAGCTGGTAGTAGTTTTCTGTGTTGCTTACAATGTTGTTGTATTTAATGCAGATTTCAATGAGCCCTGAGACTAAAAACCAACAAATAGTGACACTTCATACTTGTTCGGTGACACCAAATTTAAAATGGCTTTAAATTCCAATGCCAGGCCGTTTGAAATTAATGTGTTTAAGATTATGTCAGGAAACTAGTAAAAAAAAAAACAACTTCAAATACATGCTTGAAATGAATTGATTCAGCTGTAATGATAAGATATATTGACAAATTTAATTATTATTCATCCAGAATTATAAAAGCAAAAGCCATTTTTCAGCAAATGAATCTGCATATTAAAATCGTTAGAAATATCCTTCTTATAGAATTCTGCCGAACTATCATTTGGTTCTGAAGTTTTTAAAGGAAAAATAAATGACTTTAGAGAATTAAATATTTCAAATGCATTTTGATATTTAATCATTAACAAATGTAGAATTTAACAATATCCATGAATATGCAGGATAAAGGACGTATTTAAATATGATAAGTAAATTATTTATGATGAGAGACAGAAGCAGTGAGGGAGAGAGGGAAGGGTGGTGATAGACTTGCCATTTGGGATGCACATATTCAGACTTAAAGGTAAGTAAAGAGTTTAAGGAAATATCAGATTCACCCAATGGATACTGATTTTTCAAGCTCATTTGTTTTTACAGAGCTCTTTCACACAGAATGAAACTGCAGGTTGTTTTGAGTTTCACTGTTTACTGACAAACCATAATAGCAATTCTAGTTTTGTTTCTGTCTCAATTATGCAAAAGGGAGAACATGACTAATTAATTCTTTCAAGTTGATAACACCTTTGAAAGACTTTTGATCATTTGTACTGTAAAATCCTCCCAAATACCGATACTTAGGACACCAAATTATTCTCCCCATTGAATAGTGTGGTACTTACACAGTTTGTGAATTTCAAAGGTACTCCGTTTGTTTACAAATTCTAAATCTTGACAAAAATGGCTTCACAGATTACCCGTTAGATAATTAAAGTTCAGTGATATCTGAGTATATGAAATGTACCAATAACAGATAATGTACAATCTTATAGTTCCCTTAAAATTCTAGTGTGTTACTTTAACGACTTTTTCACTGATGTTCTTATGTAACTTATTTATTTGTTGCTTACTTTTTTTTTTTTTGCAAAAACAAGAAACAGTTCCCTTTTTTGCAGTAGCCAAATGTGTTAAAGAGCAAAATAAGTTTCCAAGTAGGGGAGTCTTCAACACATATCTTCGGAGTGTATTTAATTTCGTGCATGTGTGAAAGATAATAATGTGATCCCAGGTACTAAATATTCTTCAGCCATTCACTCCCAGTACTGTTACCTGGAATAAAACTAGATTAAATTTGCAGAACGGTGAATTATGGAAAATAATGAAGCTAAGGCAATTCATTAATCTTTATCTGCTTGTCTATTTTTTATAGCCTGGATGAAATGGAAAAATTCATGCGGGGGCTGATCAGATTGAAAAGGGTCTGTAACATGATGGAGAGAAACATGGGGCTGAAAATGTGTTTTTTTTTTTTCTTTTTAAGTTAAACACAGCACCTTTTTCTCACATGCCTCTGTTTTTCTTTTAGTGGCAAAGCATTTCTATAACACTGGTTGAGAAAGTTCAGATGATTGCTGTAATCCTAGGATCCCTGTTCTTAATAGCGAGTGTGACCTGGCTCCTTTGGTCAGCCTTCAGCCCCTATGCAGTGTGGCAGAGGAAGGACATCCTTTTTCAAATCTGCTATGGAATGTATGGTTTTATGGATCTAGTGTGCATAGGTAAGACCATGACATTACACATTAACTGTCAGTAATCCATTTCTTGCAGCTATTATATTTTCATCAGTGGGATCTCGTATAGAATGTTGTGGTTCACGTGATCTTGGTTCTGCAGCTACTTACCTATCTGGGGTGTCACAATCTGGCCACTTCCCTCAAAAAAGCATAGCATCTCTCTTCCCAAGGAGTCCGAAAAAATGAACAGGATAATGTCCATTTAAGGTGCCTTCTTTTGCAACAGAAAGGAAGGAGGAATGGTAGAAATGATTGGGGGTGGGCAAAATCAGGACAGTCATTTATTTCTATGGAATAAGAGCACATCAGCCCCTCTTCAGCAAGCCGGGGAAGCGTTGACGGTGCCGGTGCCAGTGGTGGTCTGTGCATTTGGGGAGAGGACCCACAGACTCCTGGAAGGCTTACCTTGTGGCGATGTGACTCAGATTCCTCGAGGGCATAAGTGCTCCTTGAAGGGGTGGGGACCAGAGGTCAGTTTTCCTTTCTGTCTTGGGCTTCTTTGTTTTGATTAATAAATTCAGTGGCTTAGAAGAGATAAAGGATCAAACCTTTTAGCTTAAACAGATCCTACCAAAAAAGGTTACTTACGCGTTTCTCTTAGCCAATCTGGTGTTGCCCCAGGACCATGAGAAAACGGAAGCCGATTCATGCAGCACTGATGTGGTGTGTGTGCGGTGCCCGTCACTGGCACTGTGGTGGTGTCTGGTTGGCTGTGGGGGGCAGGGACTTAGAGGCCTACAGTCTCTGCTCTGATGTGCTTTGCAGCTGTAAAGAGCTGAGAGGCAGCCATGGTTTATAGCAGTGGTTCTCAAAGTGTGGCCCCGCTGCTGCTTTTTAAGAGATGCACATTCTCAGGTCCCACCCCATCAGCTAAATCAGAAATTTCAGGGTTCGGACACCCCCACCCCCCCACACCCCACCATCTGCGCATCACAAGCCCACTGAGATTCTCACACTCGCTAAAGCTTGGGAACCACTGGTTTCAGGGAATGGTGCAATTTGGGATCCCCTGACTTGGTTTCCAATCTGGGCCCCTGCTGGGACAAATCGGTGCTGTTTCTTCATGTCCTCTTTCCTCACCCATGAAGACAGAAATAATAATCCCTAGCACACAAGCCTAAATAAAGGAAATAATGATTATAAACAATTATGTTATTAATTGGAAGTTATAAATGAAAGGTATTTGAATAAGTCACAAATATTAAAATAGTCAAATCATTTCAATTCATGCCTCTACTCACCAGAGCCTTAATTTAACTAGGAGTTTTAATATTCTCAGTGACTTTTTTCTAAAAGAACTCTATAAATTTTAAAATAGGATTAGCCTGAATTTCCTCTCCTTTCCTTCCTCCCTTGCCCCTAGTACAAGACTAAAAGGAAAGAAAATGATCACATTTCAGGCCAGGAGGAAAAAGATGTGGGTGTGGGGGGGTGTCATGAGTAATATGTGAACTGAGCAGATGTTGCCTGAATAATTGAGCTAATCAGGTATATGAACAATTTGATTAAATGTGATAATACACTTGTAAGCATTTGGAAATGCTAAGTCTCTATACAAATATAATCTCCAGGGTATTGCTCTAAATAAAGGAGAGTCACAAAATTGTTCTACAAATTCCTCAGTAAGTTCAGAGATAGATCGTATTTATTCAGTCCTTCAACATCAATGTTATAAAAATGTGGTATTTCTTTGATATGAAAAGGAGAGATGAAAAACAATGGAACCATTAGGCTTCCAGTTCAACCTGGAGGGAAAGAGTCCATTTGACTTTGATATCATTACGACACTAGAGAGGAATACACACACACACACACACACATTCTGTTTAGGAACTCACTTTCCTGGTTTTCACAGCTTGCATTTAGTGCTGAGTTACCAGGTCTTAAATTTTGATTGCTGATGCCTGTCTTTTAATCAAAATTATTAAATTTTGGTTTTAAAAGCACATGCATATGAGCTAATGATTTTTTGGCAGAATATGACATATTTGGGCTTCCCTTTTGAAATTTGGGTATTTGCCCATTTTAGAAAGTTAAGTTTCATAAGAACAAAAGCCAATTGATATTTTGCTGGCTTACACTTTGGAGAGTGAATTTTTATTGAGGTTTTAAATATTGACAGTACCTTTCATTACATTTTGACTTATTAAATCCAAATTTCATCATTTAAGGATTTATTTGTATTTTGAAAAATGTTACAGAATTCAGATTGAACAGCATTGTTCCTGTCACTTGGTAATCACATTAATTGGTCTATTTGGGCCCAGAGAAAATCTTATTTTTTTCTCAAGAAGTTGAGAAACTACTATAGTCAAGTTAGCAAATACACGGAGGCTATCAATAGGCAACTGGATCATAGCCAGTAATAGCTCCTGTTGACATTTCAATTTAATTCAAATGTAACAAAGTAGATTACATTGATTATACCTCAAATACCCCTCACTGCAGGACTTAAGTGTCTGAGTTAGGGTGGAAAAAAAAAAGAGTCTGAGTTAAGGTGGAAAGCATGTTTATAACTTTGGGTCCAGTTTGCTCAGCTCAGATCAATAAATATTTATTGAGAACTTTCTTTGTGTCAGACACAGTGCTAGGTGCTGGGAATACAAGTCAGGGTCAGTCACTTGCCTGGCCCCAAGGAGCTCCCAGCCCAGAGGAGGATAGGTGTGTCAGGAGGCAATGAGAAGATGGGGGGGTGTACACGGTTCTGGAAGGATGCACAGGAGGGGATAGTCGGACAAAGCGGGGAGACATGAACGCTGGGGTGTTGCATGCAAGGTGGGGGTGGTTCCAGGCAGATTTCAAGGGGAAGTGATAACCAAGCAAGCTGACAGATGAGTAGATGCTTAGCAAGTGGGGAGGTGGCCCCCTTGTCACTGTTGGAGGATGTAAAATTGGCTTCCCATTCAGAGGGCCTTAAAGTACTTGGAAACATTCCCACATTCCTGTTTGCTCGAGCTCTTCAAACTTGTTTATACCTAAATGAGAAGGAGCAGACTGAGAGCTTCATAAATGTTCTGTTTAAAAAATAATTCTGAAAATCCGTAGAAGCTTATTCCTGAATGAAAAAAAAATGTTATAATCCAGCCAGTGGTTGTAATGCTTAGGAAGAGATTATTGCTGGATTGTTAAAGAGAAAATGTAAAGATTTGTAGAAAATGTATTTACTTGGGGAAATCTGTTTAGTCATTTCTACACACAGTGAATTTGTCTTCTGCTTTTATTCATTATTATTAATTAATACCCTTTCTGCTTTCCCAAGATTCAGTTTTTTCTTGCTATTCAAGTTTTGAATTCTCCCAGGGGTCGAGGTATTTTTAGAGTTGAGATGTCTGGATCTGGCTGTCTACTAGAACTTGCTGCAATGATAAAGATGTCCATCTGGTGTCCAGTGCTACAGACACAAGCCACTGGCTACCGTTGGCTATTGAGCACTTGAGTGTGGTTCATGAGAAAGAGAAACTGGATTTTAAAATTAATTTTCTTTAAATTAACTTAAATTTAAGTAAATAGCCACCTGTGGCTAGTGGCTATCGGACGGCACAGATCCTGGATGATGATTCAGATTAAATGTGTAAGGGTTTGATTAGCCAGGTTCCCCTCACCTGCATAAACAGGTGGCATTTCCTAAATAACAAAGAAGCTCTGTGCCAAGACAAATGAAGAGAGTAAGAATGAACTGAAGAGGATTAAGAGAAGGGTATTAAAGGTGTGCGGGTGGTGGCCGAGAGGTAGACAGAGAGCCATGAAAGGGAGACGTGTCTTAAGGGACTCGAAGTACAAAGAGATAACTTTATATTATACTTGGGGAGCTCTTTTAAATATTTAAACAGTTGGCATTCCAACTATGATTGTGTACCAGGGAAACTAATATAAAGGATTTAAATCACTGAGCTGTGTTAGCCCAGGGCAGTAATTTAGGGGGAATAACCAAAGCAAGCCGGTGTTGGCTCCCTCCTGAGGTTTGCACAGTGGACAAAGGAAGATTAGCAGACCCAGAGATGAAGAGCAAATGCATGGCGGAAGGCTGTGGGCTCGGGATTTGGTTCTTAACTCTGTACTTTGCACACACAGAATAGAAGGCTATTCCTTTCATTGGCTGTGTGGTTCAGAGGAAGCTTGTTCCATCAGAGGAATACATTTAGTAATGACTGAAATGACTGAGAGTCAGCCATGAGGACAGGGAGTCATTTGATTAACTTGCTTCTAAAAAGTTACCAAGTCATTTCAGTGTCCAGTAGAACTTGATGAGGTGAGTTCTGTTTCTTGTTTAAAGCAACAAAGTAAGACTGAAACCCCGTTACTTTAGTGGGACTCCTGAAATAGGAACAGCATTGCTTATGTCTAATCTCACTAACACTATGAATTAGTGCCAACTCCATATCTGGAAAATGTTTTGATCTTCCCTGATACACCAAGGAAAGGGACCAGATATGCTTATAAAATTTAAAAACTTAGATCACTTTTGTTCTTTTAAAAATTTTTTTCTTAATTGTCTGCATAGTATAAACATATACATATTGAAATAAGCCCATTTTATGAATATATAAAGTTTAAAAGAACACCACTTCACTCACACTGCCCGTTCTGTTATGTCATTCTCTTTGTGGAATGGTCTCCCCCACCCCAACATTTTGGTGTATATCTGCCAGATCTTTTTCATTGGGTTTACATGCATATGGGCATACAGACACGTAGGTATTTTAATATAAGTGGAATCATACTATTCATTGTTGAAAAAAAGTCATTTTCATTCAACAACATGACCTGGCGATCTTTCCCTGTTAGAATGGATGGACAACCATTTCCTTTTCTTCTACTGATGGATATTCAGGTTGTTACCAGTCTTCACCATTAGAAACAATGTTGCCAATGAGTATTTCCGGAGGCAAGATTCCGAGAAGTGAAAAGTCTGGGCTGAATAATAAGTACATGCCCTATTTTTACTCTCTAAAAAGGCTTTGCCAATTTGCCCTCCCCCCAAACAG